GTTCAAACCCTTACCTCTGGGGTAATATAAATGAAACAGTACTCCATTGTTCATCAAAAAGTCATTTGATTCCCTGACAATGGTATGAGCTAGGTTTCTGTCCTCTGGTAGAACTCTATCTTCCAGATACCTAATGATGTGTATCAAATCTGGGTCTTCAAGCTGTTTGCTTCTAATGTTGTCTGGGGTTCTGTCTGACACAGAGGGGTCATAATCATCTGTAACTCAACCTTCACGTATGTTATTTATAACATTCCTGTGGTCAGTTAAAATACTGTCTGGCCAGTCCAGTGTGTATTCAGCTGTCCCTCTCAATATCATGTACGGACTTGGGAATGCCCTGACATCATGTACTGACAATGATACCATCCTACAATGACCTCATACACCGGGTCATCTGACTCTGGTTTAGGGCTCCCATCATAATCCCGTCAAGACAACCCATCAGCATTGGAATGTTTCTTTCCAGCTTTATGCTCAATGACAAAGTTGTAACCCTGTAACAGAATTGCCCATCTTGCCACTCTACCAGATTTTTGTTTGGTACTTTGCAATGTTTTGATTGCCATATGGTCAGTCAATACTGTTAATTTCTTTGTGGCTAGGTATACATGGAAATGCCTTATTCCTTCTACTAATGCAAATCTGTTATGCCCCAGTTTTTCTCTGCCTTTCTCAATGACCTACCCCCATAGGCTACAGCTCTTTCCTTTCCGTCAGCATCTCGCTGTCCTAACATATACCCTATTGCCTTAGTGGATGCATCCACATAGAGAATGAATTCTTTGTCAAAATCTGGGTACACTAGAATTGGTGCCGTAGTCAAGCATTGTTTCATACTGTCAAAAGCACTTTGACATTTTTCTGACCAGAGGAATTTGGTGTCATTTTTCAGGAGCTCATTCATAGATGCTACAATCTCTGAAAACCCTTTCACAACCTACGATAGTAGTTACATAGTCCTAGGAATGCCCTGACATCATGTACGGACTTGGGAATGCCCTGACATCATGTACTGACTTGAGAATGGGATATTCTGTCACTGCCTTTATTTTCTCATGGTTCACACTGATACCATCCTTTGAGAAAACATGGCCTAGATATTTTACTTCAGACACTGCAAAATGGCATTTCGAAGGTTTAAGTTTCAGATTAGCATCCCGCAATCTCTGAAAAACCTGAGCCAAATGGTCTATGTGCTCCTCAAATGTTGAAGAGAACACCAGGATATCATCTATGTAGACAAGAGCAAACTTATAGTTTATGTCCCTCAACACCTCAGACATCACCATAGAAAAGGCTGATGGTGAGTTTGAAAGTACAAATGGGAGCTTAGTATATTGGTAGACACCCTGATGTGTCACAAAACCTGTTTTTGCTTTGGAATCCTCTGTCAGAGGAATTTGCCAAAACCCTGATCGTAAATCCAAGATAGCAGGGGAGCTTTGCAAGCCCCTGGGCAAAGTATGCTTTTGGTAATCCAGCTTTGTTTTCCAGATATGCTCTTGATTAAATTTTATGTTATCAAGATAATCTGCACTTATCTATCATTGTGCTAAATAATCTGGTAAGATGTGGGACAGTCCATCATTGTATAGGTATGGAGCATCACAATTAAACGTGTACCAGGCTATGATGTTGAATCTGTGTGGAGAACCTCAGCATTGGCTTAGTTCTCACCTACAGCCTCGGGTAGTAGACTATATTCCACATATTGACACCTACCATGAACATTCTAATAGTCCTGAAATACAATTCTAATAATGCCAGTTCCAGAAACAATCAAAGGTTGTATGTACTGTTTTAGTGACCTATTGCTATCCGTCTTCCTCCGTCGTCGTCCGTTAACATTTTACATTTTCAACTTAAGCTGAAATACTGTCAAAGGAATTTCATTGATACTTCATGGAAATGTTAATGACTACTCCCTGACCAAGTGTTGTTATTTTTCGGGTCGATCAGAAATCCAATATGGCCGCTACGGCCGCCATTTTGAAAAACTATTTCAAACTTAAAGTCAAGTTCTACTGGGCCGATTTAACTAAAACTTGGTAGGAATGATCGACTCATGGTCCTGACAAAGTGTTATTATTTTCGGGTTGATCAGAAATCCAATATGGCCACCGTGGCCGCCATTTTGAAAAACTATTTCAAATTTAAAGTCAAGTTCTACTAAAACCTGGTAGGAATGATCGACTCATGGCAAAATGTGTTTTTTTTGTCATGGCTGCCATCATTATCTCCACTTCATATTTCAATTACAAAGAATTATACTGTAGGACTCGGTTGACTGCTAAGGCCCATGGGCCTCTTGTTGGTATTAACAGTCATTTATGTTCTCCTTTCTTGATACTTCATTCCAAAAAAGAAATGTTTCGGTTGAAAAGATAAAATCAACATTTTATTTGAGATTATAGAATATAGAAGTGCTGTGTTGCTGAATAATATAAATGTCGACTAATGGCTTCTGTATCTTCCATTTCAGATCCCATAATAATGCACTTTTTGGATATAGCAAATATGATAGAAATTGGTATAAATTATTCACATTATAAATTATATATATTTCCATTTCAGATTATTTGAAAACCAACAAATCTATAAATAAAAATCATTACAAGCTACCTGCAGATTTAAAAGAATGCATGGTCTGAAATGTTTTTAATCTTGATTTTATATTTTCATGTTTTAATTTTACACCTTTGTTTTCTGTACAATTTTGCATGGCCATAAAGTGTTGATTGTGTGTATTCTGGATGTTGTGTCATTGGAAAATAGTATAATGATTGGTGACATTAGATGAATCTTACAGAAAGGTTACCATTCTCTGTAATGTATATATGTACAACAGCCAGCTCTGAGTTACTTATCAGGAAATACCTATACAATGCTTTTTAAAACTAGGATTAAACTTGCAAATTGAATCTTAAAACTTGAACAAACAAAGTGGTCTGAATTTCAAAATAAAATAACAGAAGCACAACTTCATTGTGTATTTCTATATAGCTAGTTCAAGTTAGTCTAGTGGATTAATTCTCTTCTTTTTTTAAAATTTTCTGCAATGGTTTTTTTGTTACGTTTTTCATGATTTCCATTGAGATATGGTTTCCATAACAATCAATTGTGAAACAAGTAAAAACTGAATTTCTATTTATTTCTTTTGTATTGAAAAGAGTTTGCTCTGGTATTGTGCTCTTTGTTTTACTATTGTACATGATTCACACTTAACAAAACTATTGATATCATGATCACAGTCATTTCAATATTTTTGCATACACATTTGTGGAAATATGCTCTTTGCTTCGTGTTGTCATTTAAAGTTCATTAAAACTTCACTTCAAGCAGAAGCTTGTGTATAACACAGGGTTTTTATACACTGACAAAGGGTCACATCATGGTATACCCTGCACTGTCCATCCATCTGCTTTTTGTCATAACAACTCCCCCAACAGTTTTTATAGCCGAATTAATAATAATAATAATATACAACATTTATACAGTGCCTTATATAATTTGTAAGATTACTCTAAAGCGCTTTACAACATATGGATAATAGTATTACATGTAGTAATAATATTGTGAAACAAAAAAAAAAAGGTTTACATAATCACCTTTATACATTAAGCAAGCAAATAACCATCGCAATGGGCACATAAATGAATAAATAAAGGATGGTATTTACATGACAGCTGTGTAAAGGATGGTATTTACATGATGTCTGTGTAAAGGGTGGTTTTTACATGACGTCTGTGTAAAGGATGGTATTTACATGACCTCTGTGTAAAGGATGGTATTTACATGACCTCTGTGTAAAGGATGGTATTTACATGACGTCTGTGTAAAGGATGGTATTTTACATTACGTCTGTGTAAAGGATGGTATTTACATGACATCTGTGTAAAGAGCCTAAAATGCAGATGTTCATGAAATTTCACTGAAGATATCGACACACCCCGAAGTTGTACGCCTGTGACTAATATTTCAGTTTATTATGGGAGTTATGCCCCTTTTGACTGGCGGATTGTGGAGTATAAGAAACATATCACTGTGAACTAAATCCTGAAAGAAGTGGTACAGGTCGATACATAAAAGAAATAATTGCCGGTGGGGGACTATGGATTGCTTTGCAATACTTTGCCTGATTCATTAGAACTCTTCCTATAGTTCTGTGAGCAGGCTGGTGTACAAGTCTGCCATTCTGGCAACAATTCTAGTTAATAGATGTATATTGTTGGTACTTGATACAAATATTTCCTCATAAATGTAGCTCGAATGAGATTTTTTTTTTACTGAATTTAGGGCCTCTTGTGCAAATTTGACACCAATGTATAGCACCATTGCTATGCCAGCTGTGTTTACAGACCTGTCATACTCGCGTATCTTTGGATACCTTTAACTTTTACTGTTAAATTTTGAAACTTGTCCTTAGTACTACCAGATGTTATATTGCTCAAGTACAAAATTTTGTGATCACATGTTTACCTCGTTAGGACTGAAGGGCCAAGTGAGCTTATGCCTTGGTGCAGTGTTCGTCATCCATCCCTCTGGCGTCAACTATTTTTCTATTTTCTTTAAATGACTTCTTCTCAAGAAAAATAGGCGTAGGATGACGATATTTGCCCAGTAACATGCTAGGATAAAGGGCTACCAAGTTTGTTCAAATGAAAGACCTTTGTCCATTTTCAAGGCCACAGGGGTTAAATAAATTGACTGATTACTGCAGCAACTTTGATTTAGAAAAGGTCAACTAGCTGAGATCATTCATGGCTTGATTATAAGTTTTTGAAAATTATGGAGTTTATACAAGAAATGAAGCTCCTAGTTATAACAACCTTCCAAAATATTAGTTTCGTATATAAGTATAACATCCCGGGTAATTTTGTATTATAAGTATAACATCCCGGATAATTTTGAAGTAACTCAATGCATAGGTAGGTGAAATCATGGCTGTGAAGTCCTTTATTTTGGTCAAATGACTTACAAGCTATAATTTGTTACAGCTGAGTGTTCCTGTAATGAACGTGGATCGATGAGCATCACCTGTAACCCAGCAACACATGAATGTCGCTGTAAACCAGGAGTTGGAGGCAAGCAGTGTAACTACTGTCTCCCTGGGTACTGGGGCCTTGCACTAAACCAAGACAGTGTCGGCTGTGTCCGTAAGTCTATTTATAGCTTATTTACATATACTGTTAATTTTAGCTCACCTGGTACTAATTCAAGGTCTAGCTGAGTATGTGAACGTATATGCCATGGTACAGCAGCTGTCATCTGTCCATCAACATTGTATTGCACAATTTGATTAAAATGGTGCTTATCCAAAACAGCTGAGTGGATTTAGACTATATTTTGGGCTGAGGGAGAGGGCCCATTGATAGGGGGAAAAAAACGTTCTCCTTTCACCTATATAAAACCTACTGTCTTGTCAGTTAATGATAATGACAGGTTGGACTATATATAACCTTCTGTCTTGTCAGTTAATGATAATGATAGGTTGGACTATATAAAACCTCCTGTCTTGTCAGTTAATGATAATGACAGGTTGGACTATATATAACCTTCTGTCTTGTCAATTAATGATAATGATAGGTTGGACTATATAAAACCTACTGTCTTGTCAGTTAATGATGATAATAGGTCGGACTAAATGATAATGATTGGTCGGACTATTTTTTTTTTACTGTGATACCAGGCAGTTCCTGTTCCTATACATAACCTTACTTTGCTCTAGTGGTTATTGTTATATTTTAGCTTTACCAAAAGCGTTTGCCTCTAGATAGTACCTATATCACATTATGGATATAGGGAAAGCTAGGGGATCATATGTTGTAAAAAGGAATTTAGATGTGAACGCTTAGGCTGGAAAAAATAAATCTCATTAGAGGTTTCTTCTTTTTTATTTGCTAAAATTCAGTCCAGATCATCATTATTAGCTCACCTGTCCGTCGTCTGTCCGTTGTCCGTCGTCTGTACATCACCAATTTCTTTGAACGGCGATATTGCTTTAAGCGACTTCTTCTCTGGAACTAAGAGATGGATATCAACCATATTTGACTGGAAGCATCCCTAAGTGGTAGGGATTCAAAATTGTACAAATGGTGGGGCTGACCCGCCAGGGGGCTGAGGGGCGAGGCCAAAAGGGGGCAATTTTGCTATATTGCTTTAAGCGACTTCTCTGGAAGTAAGAGATAGATATCAACCATATTTGACTGGAAGCATCCCTAGTTGGTGGGAATTCAAAAATGTACAAATAGTGGAGCTGACCTCCCAGGGGGCTGAGGAGCGGGGCCAAAAGGGGGCAATTTGGCTATATTGCTTTAAGTGACCTCTTCTCTGGAACTAAACGATGGATATCAACCATATTTGACTGGAAGCATCCCTAGGTGGTGGGGATTCAAAATTGTACAAATGGTGGAGCTGACTCCCCAGTGGGCTGAGAGGCGTGGCTGAGGGGCGTGGCTGAGGGGTGGGGCTGAGTGGCGGGGCCAAAAGGGGACAATTTGGCTATATTGCTACAAACGACTTCTTCTGTAGAACTGTGTCATGGATATCGACCATATTTTGTCAGAAACATTCATGGGAGGCAGGGTTCAAAATTGTACAAATGGTGTGGCTGACCCTCCGGGCTAAGGGGTGAGGCCAAAAAAAGTGTATTACTTGGAAATGGTTGAGATCCCCACCGTATAACCATATATACAATTGCTGAGTATAAAGAGAAGAATGCACATTTGCTTCCAGGATGGCCTTGGGGTCTGCCCCATCCTTGGAGACTTAACCCCTGGGTCATAACTTTGAAATGATTAAGATCCTCACCCCAAAACTACATATACAATTGTTGGGCATAAAGAGACGAATGCAGTCATGCTATTTAGAATTGACCCCAGGGTCTGCCCCACCCTTGCAGCCTTAACCCCTGGGTCATAACTTTGAAACGGTTGAGATCCCCACCTCAAAACTGTAAATACAAATGCAGTCATGATATTAAAATTGATCCTAGGGTCTGGCCACAACCCTAGGGACCTAGTTTCTGAGTCACAGCTTGGAAACAGTTGAGATCCCCACCCCATAGCCATACATAAAATTGCTGGGCATGAAAAATCTTATGCAGATATACTACAAGTATTGGCCTTGAGGTCTTGAGGTCTAGCATATTCCCTTGGATCTCATTTGGAGAATATGTTATCATGATTGCTTAGATATCCAGGTGAGCGATACAGGCCCTCTTGGCCTCTTGTATTAACATATATCCTGATCCCCCATATATTATTGTGCCTAGAGAAATTAATGAAATCCACCTAGATGGAGGTAAACACCGAACCTCTACCTGTGGGTTTGTAGGTAAACAACAAACCTCTACCTCTGGGTAAGTAGGTAAACAACAAATCTCTACCTCTGGGTAAGTAGGTAAACAACAACTCTCTACCTCTGGGTAAGTATGTAAACAACAAACCTCTATCTGTGGATAAGTAGTTAAACAACAAATCTCTACCTCTGGGTTAGTAGGTAAACAACAAACATCTACCTCTGGGTAAGTAGGTAAACAACAACTCTCTACCTCTGGGTAAGTATGTAAACAACAAACCTCTATCTGTGGATAAGTAGTTAAACAACAAACCTCTACCTGTGGGTTAGTAGGTAAACAATAAACATCTAACTGTGGGTAACTAGGTAAACAACAAACCTATACATGTAAACAACAAACCTCTACCCATGGGTTAGTAGGTAAACAACAAACCTCTACCTGTAAACAACAAACCTATACATGTAAACAACAAACCTCTACCTGTGGGTTAGTAGGTAAACAACAAACCTCTACCTGTGGGTAACTAGGTAAACAACAAACTTCTACCTGTAAACAACAAACCTCTACCTGTAAACAACAAACATCTATCTGTAAACAAAAAATCTCGACCTGTAAATAACAAATATCTACCTGTGGGTTAGTAGGTTAACAACAAACCTTTACCTGTGGGTTAGTAGGTAAACAACAAACCTCTACCTATGGGTAAGTATGTAAACAACAAACCTCTACCTATTGGTTAGTAGGTAAGCAACAAACCTCTATCTGTGGGTTAGTAGGTAAACAACAAACCTATACCCGTGGGTTAGTAGGTAAACAACAAACCTATACCCATGGGTTAGTAGGTAAACAACAAACCTCTACCTATGGGTAAGTAGGTAAGCAACAAACCTATAACCGTTTGTTAGTAGGTAAACAACAAACTCTACCTATGGGTAAGTAGGTAAGCAACAAACCTCTACCTGTGGGTTAGTAGGTAAACAACAAACCTCTACCTGTGGGTTAGTAGGTAAACAATAAACCTCTACCTGTGGGTTAGTAGGTAAACAACAAACCTCTATCTGTGGGTTAGTAGGTAAACAATAAACCTCTACCTATGGGTAAGTAGGTAAGCAACACACCTCTACCTGTAAACAACATACCTCTACCTGTGGGTTAGTAGGTAAACAACAAACCTCTACCTGTGGGTAACTAGGTAAACAACAAACTTCTACCTGTAAACAACAAACCTCTACCTGTAAACAACAAACATCTATCTGTAAACAAAAAATCTCGACCTGTAAATAACAAATATCTACCTGTGGGTTAGTAGGTTAACAACAAACCTTTACCTGTGGGTTAGTAGGTAAACAACAAACCTCTACCTATGGGTAAGTATGTAAACAACAAACCTCTACCTATTGGTTAGTAGGTAAGCAACAAACCTCTATCTGTGGGTTAGTAGGTAAACAACAAACCTATACCCGTGGGTTAGTAGGTAAACAACAAACCTATACCCATGGGTTAGTAGGTAAACAACAAACCTCTACCTATGGGTAAGTAGGTAAGCAACAAACCTATAACCGTTTGTTAGTAGGTAAACAACAAACTCTACCTATGGGTAAGTAGGTAAGCAACAAACCTCTACCTGTGGGTTAGTAGGTAAACAACAAACCTCTACCTATGGGTAAGTAGGTAAGCAACACACCTCTACCTGTAAACAACATACCTCTACCTGTGGGTAATAAGGTAACTGATTTAAGGAAATGTAACATTACACAGGCACTTTGGCTTTTTAATTGAATATTAATTCTCTTTGTGACCAATGATGCTGACTTTTAGTTTTAACCTCTTTAGCTTGTAACTGCCACACATTGGGTCGACTTCGAGGTGATTGTGATCAGACAACAGGAAAGTGTTTTTGCCGACCAAACATACATGGCGCTAAGTGTGACCTTTGTCCAGATGGTCGCCCAATTGTTTCAAGATATGGATGTCCAAGTCGTAAGTACAAAGAAATACTTTCAAAGGGTGGTGGCTTTTGTCCAAGTATTCCTCTGTGAGTGTTGTCCAAGTATTTCTCTTTGAGTGTTGTCCCAGTATTCCTCTGTGAGTGTTGTCCCAGTATTCCTCATTGAGTGTTGACCCAGCAGTATTCCTCTGTGGGTGTTGACCCAGTATTTCTTTGTGAGTGTTGTCCCTGTTTTCCTCTGTGAGTGTTTTACCAGTATTCCTCTGTGAGTGTTGACCCAGTATTCCTCTGTGAGTGTTGACCCAGTATTTCTCTGTGAGTGTTGTCCCAGTTTTCCTCTGTGAGTGTTTTACCAGTATTCCTCTGTGCGTGTTGTCCCAGTATTCCTCTTTGAGTTTTGACCCAGTATTCCTCTGTGAGTGTTGTCCCTGTATTCCTCTGTGAGTGTTTTCTCAGTATTCCTCTTTGAGTTTTGACCCAGTATTCCTCTGTGAGTGTTGACCAAGTGTTCCTCTGTGAGTGTTGTCTCAGTATTCCTCTGTGAGTGTTGTCCCAGTATTCCTCATTGAGTGTTGACCCAGTATTCATCAGTGAGTGTTGACCAAGTGTTCCTCTGTGAGTGTTGTCCCATTATTCCTCAGTGAGTGTTGACCCAGTATTCATCAGTGAGTGTTGACCCAGTATTCATCAGTGAGTGTTGTCCAAGTATTCCTCTGTGAGTGTTGTCCCAGTATTCCTCTGTGAGTGTTGTCCCAGTATTTCTCTGTGAGTGTTGTCCCAGTATTCCTCTGTGAGTGTTGTCCCAGTATTCCTCTGTGAGTGTTGTCCCAGTATTCCTCTGTGAGTGTTGTCCCAGTATTCCTCTGTGAGTGTTGTCCCAGTATTCCTCTGTGAGTGTTGTCCCAGTATTCCTCTGTGAGTGTTGTCCCAGTATTCCTCTGTGAGTGTTGTCCCAGTATTCCTCTGTGAGTGTTGTCCCAGTATTCCTCTGTGAGTGTTGTCCCAGTATTCCTCTGTGAGTGTTGTCCCAGTATTCCTCTGTGAGTGTTGTCCCAGTATTCCTCTGTGAGTGTTGTCCCTGTATTCCTCTGTGAGTGTTGTCCCTGTATTCCTCTGTGAGTGTTGTCCCTGTATTCCTCAGTGAGTGTTGTCCCAGTATTCCTCTGTGAGTTTTAACCCAGGATTCATCTGTAGGTGTTTTCCCAGTATTCTTCTGTGAGTAATGTCCCAATGTACCTCAGTACGAACTGTCCCAGTATTCCGGTCCTCTGTGAGTGTTGTCCCAGTATTCCAGTCCTCTGTGAGTGTTGACCCAGTCCTCTGTGAGTGTTGACCCAGTATTCCGGTCCTCTGTGAGTGTTGACCCAGTTGTATATCTTAGCATCCTGTGTCATCATAAGATGTGATGTATCTGTTACAGATCCTAATGTCTTACCTACCCCAAGGACATGCCGGGACGTGCAGTGTGGGTTTGGAGGGACATGTGTAGAATTTGATGACCGAGCCTACTGTGACTGCGAGTCTCTACCTTGCTTTGCTGAGGACTGGCCACGATCAGTGACTGTATGTGGTAGTGATCTCAACACTTACCAGTCTGAGTGTGAGCTGAGACACGCAGCCTGTATTCAACAGACCAATATCACTGTTGTCTTTACTGGAGAATGTGTCACCCGTGAGTATTTTTGTTATCCAATTTTCTAGGTGTGTAACTCACTGTCATGTATCTGTGTGTCTTAATGATAGGTGTGTAACTAACTACCATATATTTGTGTGTGATTAATTGATTGGTGTGTAACTAACTACCATATATGTGTGTGTGATTAATTGATTGGTGTGTAACTAACTGTCATGTATGTGTGTGTCTAATTGATACATGTGTAACTAACTGTCATGTATGTGTGTATCTAATTGATAGGTGTGTAACTAACTGTCATGTATGTGTGTGTCTAAATGATAGGTGTGTAACTAACTGTCATGTATGTGTTGGTCTAATTGATAGATGCGTAACTAACTGTCATTTATGTGTGTGTCTAATCGATAGGTGTGTAACTAACTGCACTATATTTATGTGTCTAATTGATACGTGTGTAACTAACTGCCATGTATGTGTGTGTTTAATAATATAGTTATGTGTCTAGTCGATTGATGTGTAACTAATTGTCATGTATGTGTGTCTAATCGATAGGTGTGTAACTTCTAAATGATAGGTGAGTAACTAACTACCATACATGTGTGTGTGATTAATTGATTGGTGTGTAACTCACTGTCATGTATGTGTGGATCTAATTGATAGGTGGGTAACTAACTATCATGAACGTGTGTGTCTAGTTGATAGATGTGTATCTAACTTCAATAAATGTATGTGTCTAATTGATTGGTGTGTAACGAACTGTCATGTATGTGAGTGTCTAAATGATAGGGGTGTAACTAAATACCATATATTTGTGTGTGATTAATTGATAGGTGTGTTACTAATTGTCCGGTATATGTGTGTCTAATTGATAGGGGTGTAACTAAATACCATATATTTGTGTGTGATTAATTGATAGGTGTGCAACTAACTGTCATGGATGTGTGTGTCTGATTGATAGGTGTGTACTGTCATGTATGTGCGTATCTAATTGATAGGTGTGTTACTAATTGTCAGGTATATGTGTGTCTAATTGATAGATGCGTAACTCACTTCAATAACTTTCTGTGTCTAATTGATTGGTGTGTTAATAACTGAAATTTATGTGTGTCTAAATGATAGGTGTGGAACTAACTGTCATGCATGTGTTGGTCTAATTGATAGACGCGTAACTAACTTCACTATATTTATGTGTCTAATTGATAGGGGTGTAACTAAATACCATATATTTGTGTGTAATTAATTGATTGGTGTGTAACTAACTATCATGTATGTGTGTGTTTAATAATATAGTTATGTGTCTAGTTGATAGATGTGTATCTAACTTCAATAAATGTATGTGTCTAATTGATACGTGTGTAACTAACTGTAATGTATGTGTGTGTCCAAAGGATAGGTGTGTAACTATCTGCCAGGTATGTTTGTGTCTAATTGATACATGTGTATCTAACTGTCATGTATGAGTGTGTCTAATTGATTGATGTTTAACTATCTGTCAGTTATGTATGTGTCTAAATGATAGGTGAGTAACTAACTACCATACATGTGTGTGTGATTAATTGATAGGTGTGCAACTAACTGTCATGTATTGTAACTAACTGTCATGCATATGTGTGTCTAGTGGATAGGTGTGTAACTTCTAAATGATAGGTGAGTAACTAACTACCATACATGTGTGTGTGATTAATTGATTGGTTTGTAACTAACTGTCAGGTATGTATGTGTCTAGTTGATTGATTTGTAACTAACTGTCATGTATGAGTGTGTCTAATTGATACATTTGTAACTAACTGTCACTGTCATGCATATGTGTGTCTAGTGGATAGGTGTGTAACTAACTATCATGTACGTGTGTGTCTAGTTGATAGATGCGTAACTAACTTCAATAAATGTATGTGTCTAATTGATTGGTGTGTTAATAACTGTAATTTATGTGTGTCTAAATGATAGATGTGTAACTAACTGTCATGCATGTGTGTGTCTAGTTGATAGGTGTGTAACTACAGTCAGGTATGTGTGTGTCTAGTTGATAGATGCGTAACTAACTTCAATAAATGTGTGTGTCTAGTTGATAGGTGTGTAACTAACTGTCAGGTATGTGTGTGTCTAGTTGATAGATGTGTAACTAACTTCAATAAATGTATGTGTCTAATTGATAGGTGTGTAACTAACTATCATGTATGTGTGTCTAAATGATACATGTGTAACTAACTGTCATGTATGTGTGTGTGATTAATTGATTGGTGTGTAACTAACTATCATGTATGTGTGTGTCTAATTGATACATGTGTAACTAACTGTCATGTATGTGTGTATCTAATTGATAGGTGTGTAACTAACTGCACTATATTTATGTGTCTAATTGATAGGTGTGTAACTAACTGTCATGTATGTGTGTGTGATTAATTGATTGGTGTGTAACTAACTATCATGTATGTGTGTGTCTAATTGATAGGTGTGTAACTAACTGTCATGTTTGTGTGTATCAAGTTGATAGGTGCGTAACTAACTTCACTATATTTATGTGTCTAATTGATAGGTGTGTAACTATCTGTCAGTTATGTGTGTGTCTAATTGATAGGTGTGTTACTAATTGTCAGGTATATGTGTGTCTAATTGATAGGTATGTAACTAATTGTCAGCTATGTGTGTGTCTAATTGATAGGTGTGCAACTAACTATCATGTATGTGTGTGTCTAATTGATAGGTGTGTAACTAACTATCATGTATGTGTGGGTCTAATTGATACATGTGTAACTAACTGTCATGTATGTGTGTATCTAATTGATATGTGTGTAACTAACTTCACCATATTTATGTGTCTAATTGATAGGTGTGTAACTAACTGTCATGTATGTGTGTGTGATTAATTGATAGGTGTGCAACTAACTGTCATGGATGTGTGTGTCTAATTGATAGGTGTGTAACTAACTGTCATGTATGTGTGTGTCTAATTGATAGGTGTGTAACTTACTATCATGTATGTGTGTATCTAGTTGATAGGTGTGTAACTAACTTCACTATATTTATGTGTCTAATTGATAGGTGTGTAACTATCTGTCAGGTATGTGTGTGTCTAATTGATAGGTATGTAACTAATTGTCAGGTATGTGTGTGTCTAATTGATAGATGTGCAACTAACTATCATGTATGTGTGTGTCTAATTGATAGGTGTGTAACTAACTATCATGTATGTGTGTGTCTAATTGATAGATGTGTTACTAACAGTCAGGTATGTGTGTGTCTAATTGATAGATGTGCAACTAACTATCATCTATGTGTGTGTCTAATTGATAGGTGTGTAACTAACTATCATGTATGTGTGTGTCTAATTGATAGATGTGTAACTAACTGTCATGTATGTGTGTGTTTAATTGATAGGTATGTAACTTATTGTCAGGTATGCGTGTGTCTAATTGATAGATGTGTTACTAACAGTCAGGTATGTGTGTGTCTAATTGATAGATGTGTTACTAACAGTCAGGTATGTGTGTGTCTAATTGATAGGTGTGTAGCTTAGGACCACATATGTGTTTGTCTAATTGACAAGTATGTGAGTGTATAATTTGCAGTCAAGTTAGTGTCTTATTGACAGGTTTATGAATATATTATTGAGAGATGTGTATGTAATTGATAGTTGTATTAGTTATAAGTGTCTTATTATAACAGATTCTAAAGGTGTTTGTATTGATATTTATTTGTGAGACTTATTTTAATTGATGAGTGATTGTCTTTGTGAATGAAACTGCACAAACATCTCTGTTTCAAAATGATGAAAAGACGGATATAAAACAGGGAGAAGGACAACACCAATACCTATCATGAATGGTCACCCACGACGAACCCCCCACTACCGGGCCACCACTCCCACGCCACCACACGAACGGCCACGCAGTAGTTACAAAACAACAAGACACGCTGAGCATGCCCCACCTGAAGCCAGCAGTGAGGTGACACAAACCACTGCGCGACCTGTCACCAACCCCCCTCCCCTTGTTGAAGGTAACTCTAAAGGCCCAGTAATGTTGTCAAGAGTTTGATCACAAATTGTGGCGAGTTACAAATCACCCCTACTGTTCAGGTGTCGTGTTGGACTCAAACACATACTGTGCATGTCAAACAGATGTTTCATTTTATAACAATTCATGTTGTTCAAATATAATTAATTTTGATATTGAAAAAAAAATTGCACAATATTATATTGTCAAACAAAACGTAAGAAATACATGAATTTTATGAATTAAAGATTCTATTGTAAATAAAATAATAATTAATGAAAAATGATAACTGAAATATTGTGTAGTTTTCATGAAATTATTAACTTTTAGCTCACCTGCCTGAAGGGCTAGTGAGCTTATGCCATGACGTGGCGTCTAAAGAACTGAAAGTCATAGAATCAAAATGTTCGGCTGGTAACTTCTTTGGATTGAGCACGATAAAGTTTGCCAATGGAAATGACCTCGGTCACACAAATACATGTATGTCAAACACTTCAAATGCCTTCTTCTGAAGAACTGAAAGGTATATAATTTTATTACTGGTAGCTTCCTCAGACTGAGACTGACAAATTTTGGGAATGAAAATGACCTTGAAGTATTTTGAAGGTCACAGAGGTCAAATATGTCAAACACTATAAACAAATTCTGCAAAAGGACTGAAAGTTAACAATCTTGATATTTGGCTGGATAGAGCAAACAAAGTTTGAGACTGAAATTTACCTTGACCTACTGAAAAAGTCACAGGGGTCAAATAGGTCAAACAGGTCAAACACATCAGATGACTTCTTTTGAATAATGGAAAGACATAGAATTGGAATATTTGGCTGGTGGCTTCTTGGGATATGGAAAACAAAGTTGGAGAAGGAAAATGACCTTGACCTACTTATAAGGTCACATGAACAAATACATTAAACACTTCAAATGAAGAACCAAAAGGCATAGAATCGTATAACAATGTTTGGCTGGTAATTAACTGATATGGTTAAAGCCCGACATGAGATTGGAAATTTTTCTAAACCTACTTTCAAGGTCACAGGGGTCAAATAAACAAACACAGGTGACTTCTTCTGAATGGCATATAATTATAATATTTGGCTGGTGGTTTCTTGGGATAGAACCTGACAAAGGTTGTGAATGAAAATGACCTTTACCTACTATCAACAGGTAATAGGGATCAAATGTGTTAACATAGTCAAATGACTCATCTCAATAACTAGGAAGCACAGGGTGGTGATATTTAGTATTAAGGACTTCCAAGATTTTGCAACTGAATGACTTTGTTAGACTTTCAAGGTCACTGTAGTAAAATGTGTTAAAATCTTGTAACAGGTTGTTTTGAATAACCAAGAGTCCTAGGTAAGGATTTTTATACTTTAACTTTGTCGAAATAAAATTAGTGAGTGTCCTTGGCCGAGTACAATTTAATTTTGGAGAAACCATGCCCCCACCCCAATGGGGACAGAGGAACGGGACCCAATCATGTAAGGGTGTGTTTCTGTGAGACAGAGTCAATATTTGGCTATGACTGCTTTTATATCCAGGTTATCGGTACAGGCCAACTGGACCTCTTGTTTGTGCAAGAAACTTACTTTAAATAACAACATGAAACATTTGTCTCGGCCACCCTGGAAAGATTTAAGCTCACATCAGAATTACATGAGTTATGGCAATCCACTTTTATTGTCTGTTAGCTGTAACGGATAGTTACCATATGTTTATGTTTTCAAGCTCACCTGGCCATAAGGGCAATATGAACTTGTGGCGCAGTGTCCATCCGTCAGACAGACGTACGTCATCACTCACAGCTCACAGTTAACAAATTGTTACTAGTCAACAATGGCTGAGTGTAAACTGTGCTGATCATTTTAGGTAAAATTTTGGACATTTGCTTGGATGACACCTACTGCAGTGTCCAAAACAGCCACTGTCATCTGGGAATTTGTACTTGTTGGAAGGGATATATCTCTACCCTAGATAATACACACTGCTCAGGTAAGTCATTACCTAAGGATATATACCTGTACATACATTATACACTAGATAACAACACAAACTGATCAGGTAATTTATTGTTAAGGGTTATGTTTTATCATTCAATAGAAAGCCAAAGAGTTTATGGCATATTTGTTTAGGATTTTCATTTTCATAGAACATGAAATATTTGCTTGTTAAATTTGTTTTCAGGCTGATGATTGCATTTGATCTTAAATATAAGAAAGACAATTGTTTATCATGTTTCAATTACTTGTACTGTCATTCTTGTAATACAGAAGTGAAACAGGTCAATCCAAACCAACCTCATCTGCACGACCAATCTGCATGCTCCATTAACCCATGTCGCAACGAAGGCCATTGTGTCCCTGACGATCTCCTTGGTTATCGATGTTTGTGTCCACTTGGAAAAAATGGTCCTAACTGTAAAAGAGGTCAGTGCTAGATCATTATTAGCTCACCTGGTCCGAAGGACCAATCGAGGTGAGCTTATGCCATACCGTGGCGTCCGTCGTCCATCCGTCCGTCCGTCTGTCCGTCCGTTGTCCGTCCGTCAACAATTTCTTTAAACGACTTCTTCTTCTTAACCACTGATTGGAATTCAACTAAATTTGACTGGAAGCATCCCTAGGTAGTGGGGATTCAAAATTGTACAAATGGTGGTGCTGACCCCCAAGGGGGCTGAGGGGCAGGGCCAAAAGGGGTCAGTTTGGCTATATTGCTTTAAGCGACTTCTTCTCTGGAACTAAGAAGTGGATATCAACCATATTTGACTGGAAGCATCCCTAGGTGGTGGGGATTCAAAATTGTACAAATGATGGGGCTGACCCCCCAGGGGGCTGAGGGGTGGGGCCAAAAAGGAGGCAATTTGGCTATATTGCTACAAATGACTTCTTCTGTAGAACTATGCCATGGATATCAACCATATTTGACTGGAAGCATCCCTAGGTGGTGGGGATTCAAAAATGTACAAATGGTTTGGCTGACTCCCCAGGGGGCTGAGGGGCGGGGCCAAAAGGAGTCAATTTGACTATATTGCTTTAAGCGACTTCTTCTCTGGAAATAAGAAGTCGATGTCAACCATATTTAATTGGAAGCATCCCTAGGTGTCAGGGATTTAAAATTGTACAAATGATGGAGCTGACCCCCCAGGGGGCTGAGAGGCGGGGCAAAAAGGGGTCAATTTTGCAATATTGCTATAAGCGACTTCTTCTCTGGAACTAACAGGTGGATATCAACCATATTTGACTGGAAGCATCCCTAGGTGGTGGGGATTCATACAAATGGTGGGGCTGAGCCCCCAGGGGACTGAGGGCGGGGCCAAAAAGGAGGTAATTTGGCTATATTGCTATAAAAGACTTCTACTGTAGAACTATGCCATGGATATCAATCATATTTGGTCGGAAGCATTCATGGGAGGCAGGGATTAAAAATTATACAAATGGTGGGGCTGACCCCCCGGGCTAAGGGGTGGGGCCAAAAAAAGTGTATTACTTGGAAATTGTTGAGATCCCCACCATATAACCATGGTATACAATTGCTGAGTATAAAGAGAAGAATGCACATTTGCTTCCAGGATGGCTATAGGGTCTGGCCCCACCCTTGGAGACATAGTCCCTGGGCCATAACTTTAAAACTGTTGAGATCCCCACCCCAAAACTATATATATAAATGCTGGGCATAAAAAGACGAATGCAGTCATGATATCAGAATAGACCCTGGGGTCTGACCGAACCCCTAGGGACCTAGTTTGTTAGTCACAGCTTGGAAACAGTTGAGAGCCCCACCCTATAACGGTATATACAATTGCTGAGTATAAAGAGATGATTGCACATATGCTTCCAGGATGGCCTTGGGGACTGCCCCACCCTTGGAGACTTAACCCCTGG